GGATTTACACATATAAATGACTTAAATTGATTTATTAAATTATTAAAACTAAATTTGGGAATTGTGTCGGCTGGCCTTGTCTTCACGAGAGACGCCATCACGATCGGGTTCAATTTGGGGTCGTGACAAGTTGGTATTAGAGCCTAGGTTACATAGGTCTCACGAGTCATGAGCAGGTTTAGTAGAGTCTCACGGATCGGTACGGAGACGTCTGTATTTATCCTCGAGAGGCTGCAGAACCTTTAGGAAAAACTTCACATTCTTGAATTCTTATCGTGCATCCTTGATTCAGCTTGAAATGTAACTCTTTGAATTCCTTCCACGCGTTCGTATGCGCGCATGAGTGATCAGTATCAGATGTGCATCAATGGTTTGTGATTCCCTGATTGAGGGGCGAGATGCAATCTCTGTGTATTGATGTTGGGCCAGTCTGGAAGACTTGAGGCCGGATTTTTGTCTATAGCTTGAGCACCGAGGTGCTGATTATGTGAGCAAGTGTTTTTGAACTTATATGTTCGGTAGTGTCCCTATTAGTGGAAGCGATGGTTGGATGACTATGTGATAAGTATGTTAGTACTGCGAGATGTATCTATATGATTTGGAAGCGACGAGAAGGGTTTGTTGGAGGATAGAAGAACTATTAGGTGCTTGAATTCCATCTTGATTCGAGGTATAGCCCCGAGTTATGGGCGTGTGAAGAATCTTTTCATGTTTCCCAGTTGGGAGTGAAGTAAATTTTATGTTGCGGTATGAGTTCAGAATCAGGAAGACTAAGTGACTGCGTATAGTTTATGACGGTGGAAGGTATGCGGAAAGGTTAGGTCGAGGCGAAGCAGGTGGGCTATCTCCTGCAGAGTGTTTGGAAGTTTGTGCGATCTTTATGTTGTCTGTTAGAAGATCTCATTTGCAAGTGAAAGATATGTGCTGTAATTTAAATTGGGTCGCTTAAGAGAGTGGATTTAATTATTGCGAGAGTGAATGCGAGATTTACAGAAGATTTAAAGTACCTGATGATCTGTGTTTTCCCAAGCTTATAAGGGATTTGAGTTTAATCTCACTATGGTATTATGGCAGCAATAGAGTATATGCGTTACGAGTTATTGTGTGTGTTTTGGTCTACGACTTCGAGCCAAGTGGGGGAGTCTGCTATTGGTTAGGCGATTGCACGGCTAGGTGCTATCTCGATTCCAGTTTGAGGCATGCTGGTGAGTCAGTTATGGCTTACGGAGATTGAAACCGAGGATGGCTTGAGTAAAGGAAAATTTTGACAAAGGTTATATTATGCTTCATATGTGCATGAGAATCACGGAATGTCTTGAGTTATTGTTGGTGAAGGATGCTCGGTGCATGGAGCAGGAAGTTGCTTGGTTGTATTGGGATGAGGTTACATTCTGCGGTGTCGGAGTGCTAGTGAGGCATCGGTTTCTCGGTTCATTTGATCAGTTTGATTGCAGTTTGAGTAGAGGGGATGACTCTCGAGAATGGTTCTAATGGGTTCAAGATTCTACATGTAATAGTTGGAGATTTTCAAGTTGTGTAATTGGCTAGAAGCTGAGGTTTGCATTTGGAGGGTGTCAAGATTTGTGGTATTTCTATATCAATTATGGGCTTCTTTATATCAGTATCAGGAAGGTGATGGTAACAGATTTAGATTCACGGGAAGTTTCTTCAGAGTAAAGTATTTCGAATGTGGTACTTTGAGGCGTTAAGAGAGTGTCCGGCGACTTATGAGCCTTAGTCGGTGTGGTCTTATGCTTGGGTCTCGTGCGATGAGTTTGGGTTGAGGAATTGTGGTGTTACAGCAAGGAATAGTATCAAGTTGAAGGTAAATCAGAAGGAAACTTGGATAGATGAGATAGCTTGATAGTAGGCCGGATCATCATGGTAAGGATATGGTTAGTTCTTTGGATTCTTACGAGGTAATGAGTTCTTACAGGTGTTTCCCGGCAATGCTCTTAGGTGTTAGTGGCCTGCGTAGCTTGGTTGAGTTAGAAGGATTCAGTCATGTCAGATTTGGTTTTGTGCAAAAGGGAGCCGGAGAGTTCTTGATGATTTCCACCGCGGTTTGGAGGTGTATATTTTCTACTGGCATGAGAAGCGTGGGATGTATAGTGATTTTCTTCCAGATGGGTTTGATGGAAAGTCTTGGTTGGTTGAGTACATAATTGCTTGTGGTTCGGAAGGGATATGAAGTCCTCATGTTATCCTAGGATGGTATGGTATATGCGGTATGTTGTGGAAGATTGAGATTGCGTGTGTAAGGCTACGGTTCAGTTCTAAAAGGATGGTCATAAAACTCTTAGGCAGCAGGCAGCTTTAGATAATTAGAGAAATAGCTTCAGATGATTAGGGAAATGATCTTCAGATGTTTAAAGAAATGGTATTGCTAATTGGGGTGATTTGACGAGGGTATATGCTTCAGAAAACGACTATGTGATTAAGTTGATGGTACTTCGGTAGTATTGGGGCACTTTATCGTTAGATCGACTGCTGATATTCGAGTTTGCTTGGTTGCATAGAGGAATTTTAGATTATCTCTCGTGGAATGATTGGGTATTAGAGGTGTGGTATGTATTTGGGCGGCGGAATTGGGATCGGATATGGTGATTCATGTGCCATATGGATTTGGAGACAGGAAGTTCTCATATTCAGGCTATGTTGTGGTAGTGGGTCGTGTGTATCAGCATGGTATAGTGGCTATCGGGGTTTATAGACCCGAGTGGATCTTTTGTTGCTTGGTAGGTCAGATTTTGGATGTGATATTGGGTGCAGACTAGTTGTCTCCATGCTGTGTTATTCTGGACTATTGCACTAAGGTGGTGCTGTTAGATATGCCGGAAATGCCACAGGTTGAGTGGCGAGGTTCGATCGATTATGTCCTAGTGGAGTGGTTTTATATTTCGAAAACCCAGCGGACGGTTGGGAAGGATTGTCTTTCTTATTTGGGCTTTCGTGATAGATGACAGTGCAAAGGCTTCTACCATTGATTCAGTTCCGGTGGTGAGGAACTTTTCGGATGTGTTTCTTGTGGCCGGGCATGTCGCCAGGCGAAGTTGTTGATTTCGGTATTGATTTGATGCCGGGCACCGTATCATATGGCACCGGCAGAGTTAAAGGAGTTGAAGGAGAAGCTTCAGGATTTCCTTGATAAGGAGTTCATTGGCAGGCCAATGTGGATGCGTGTTCTAACTTGAGTCGGCTTGGTTGGCTCCGAATTGTATTGTTGAGGGATGTGTGGATTCGATTGTTATTGAGCTTATTAGTAATCTAGGGAGATCTATGAGTATCTTTATGTGTTGCGAGGTGTTATGATTTGTTGGTTATAGGCACATATGGTGCGGTTCTATTGGGGTTTCATAGTGGAAGTCGAGTGGGAAGAGTAATTGGGTGTTGCTCGGTGAATGGCGTATTGGTTATGTCCTTTCGGGTTTGTGTGGTATATGTTATTTGCTTCACCGTGGGTATGATGATTTGCTTTGGTTCCAGACATCAAATTGCGCATGGTTGTCAATTTCGAGCATAGTGACTTGAGGTGTTTCATGTGGAGCAGTGTTTGGATAGGATCGCGCATCGTAGTGAAGTTATGTGGGGGTATGACCTTGCGGGTTAGATTTGTGTGTTCTGTTCCTATGATGTGAGACGGGTTCTCAGCCTTGTGTTGTGGTGGTACTGGTTAGCTTGAGGTACAACTCTTTCATTTGAGTCATTTTCATGATATGAGTATGTTTGGACTATTGCTTATTGGTGCGCGTATTGCACAAGTTGTGACCTTAGCCTGTATTGATGCGTCATATCACCAGCGTAGTGTGTTGGATTAGGTGAGATCGTTGGGATCACTAATGAATACGAACGGATTCGATTTCAGCATGCGGGAAGGATAATATCGAGGTTCGACTCAGAAATTTGCTATGGTATTTGCCAAAGGAGAAGTGGCTTCATGAATGCTTGATCTGGGAAATGGTTATGGCTTACTGCGTGTTTTAGTTATCATTGGCAGTATATGAAAGTGTTGGGATGAGACTTTAGTTGATAAGAGGTTTTCTACCGGTATTTGGTTGTTGTGTGCAGCTGCTATGTATAGAAGTTATCGCTACAAGCGTTTGAGTTATGTGGTATATCATGTAATTGCACCTGAGGTTGCAGGTATGGGGTATTACAACTAGTTCGGGTTCATTTAGAGTATAGATGTGAGATTCTGATATTGTAGATGATTTTAGAAGTGGAAATCTGGTTCTATGGTTTATGGGCTAGATTGGGTTATGAAATTTCAGTTACAATGTGTTATCAGACCTATATGAGATAGGGTGACGTGGGATCACCCTCGGGTATAAATATGGTAAGGTTATTCAGCGACTGGTTAGCTTTTAGAACAACTCTGGGCATGTTCAAGGACAAACGTATGTTTAAGTGGGGGAGGATGTAATGACCCGACCGGTCATTTTAAGTTTTTACACTTTGTTCGTCAGTTCTCGGGCATGACTTGCCCCATGTGAGGGATTATGACTTATGTAAATCGTTGGTTTTGGTTTTCAGGGTAATCGGAATGAATTTGGAAGAACAGTTCTCAGTTGAAACTTGAAATTTGAAAGGTTTGACCAAGATTTGACTTGTTTGTATATGATCTTAGATCAGAATTTTTATGATTTGGTTAGCTCTGTTGGGTGATTTGGGACTTAGGAGCGTGATCAGAATGCATTTTGGAAGTCTGTGGAAGGTTTAGGCTAGAATTGGCGAAATTGAAATTTCGGCGTTTTCCGGTTGATAGGTGAGATTTCCCTACTTATTAGAAGAGGGAACACAAGCACCTCTCCGTTAACGTGTCTGTTTCTTTAAATTTTCTAATTTGTCTTGGGGTATTTTCGTAAATTCAGTAATTTACAGCTCAACCTTATTGCTGACCTTTTCTGCCGTTGGCCAACACGTGGAGTCCCAATTTCTTAAAGCTAAAAACTCAATTCAGAACTTGGTAGAAGCATCACTGCCAAAACAGAAATAACGAACAAAGGAAAGATCTAGCATATCTCACCTAATAATTCAACGCAATTTGAGCAATCAGCCCTTTTCGATTCACGCATACCACAAAGAGTAGGTTTTTCCATTTTATTTATGCTTCTCTGTTCTACTTTTTATCCTTCCGCAAAAAGATCAGATCTTTAGGGTTTTGGATTGATTAGCAATCTTTTCTTCAGTTTAGTTTTAAGATTCGTTTCAGAAAGGTGCAAAATAAACTGAGGTTGGGTTATGATTTGTTCTCTGTTTTTATTAATTTGTTTATTTTGGATTTCTTATGTGAATTCTAAGTTCTCTTCAGTTTTTTTTTATTTTGCTAATTTCTTGATCTGTGTACTACGAGGCTTCATCTCCGCTCTTAGAAAAAATCTGTTTGACTTTCCCTATTTCGAATTTACATAGTTGTCGAAGCTCTGAATGAATGGGTTTTTGCCGCTTCGTTAGAGAAGAAAGGGGAGAAATTTACAACTGTGCTTACTTTGAATTTTAGGGTTTTTTTTACGGGAATTTATTGTGAAATTGGTGTGGAATTAAGAATTTTTACGGAACTTTTTTCTGGAAATTGGTTTGTAGAAATTGTTTTTATTATTCTTTGTGGCAGGAGGGGAAGTTAGTTACGTTCTTAGGACTCTGTGTGTTGAAGATTTTCTGGTGTTTGCATTAAAACAGTGTGTTTCAATCTCTAATTTTGTTATAATTTTTTCAACTTTAGTGGTAATGCACTGGTAGGGCAAACCTCTGTATGTAAGTTTTAAATAATGAAGCTTTATANGGGGGGGGGGGGGTGTTAGTTACGTTCTAAAGATTCTGTGTGTTGAAGATTTTCTGGTATTTGCATCGAAATAGTGTGTTTGAATCTCTAATTTTTGGTACAATATTTCCATCTTTAGTGGTAATGCACTGCCTCGGGCAAACCTTTATATCTAAGTTTTGAATAATGAAGCTTTATTTGGGCGAAAATACATTCTCAACATGATTAAACACAACACCATCTTAGTATAGTGCAAGCGCTATTTATGTTATTTTCAAAGTATAGTCTACAGCAGGTAGGTTTTCTTTTTATGTCTTTGTAAGAAATAGTTATATTTAGAATGCAGAGTTGCACAAAGAAAGTTAAGAGAGTGCAACACCAAGTTATCTTTGTTTGTTGAATGACTATAAGCATAAGTATATTAATTTGCATAATCTTTTGTTACCAAGGAATGTCAATTAAAAGCATTTTACTACCTCTTGCCTTTTCGTATACAAGTACGTAAGTACGCTAAACTTTGCTAAGTAGGCTAGCTGTGATATAACAATCCACCTACAGATATTTCTCATTGCTTTTCATGGAATTTCATCTGCCTTTTATTCTGCTCTATGAGTATCAGTACTTCTGATAATATCAATACTTCTATTGACTTCTGTATCTTCTCCTTTGCTTCTCGATTTCTCTCGATGGTTTTGTTTTTTGTCAATATCAACACTTCAGGTGAAACTCACTCCATCATTGTACCGACTATTCTTTTTATTTACTTTGCTTCCTATTTCCTCAGTAGCATAAGAGAAGAAGTTGCAAATAGATCATATCTTCAAACGATCAACTTAGAGCAGGTTTTTTCTTTTATTTATGCTTTTCTGTTCTACTTTTTGTTCTTCTGCAAAAAGATTAGATCTTTGGGGTTTTGGCTTGATTAGCAATCTTTTCTTCAGTTTAGTCTTAATATTCAAAGGTGAAAACAAACTGAGGTTGGGTTCTGATTTGTTCTCTGTTTTTATTAATTTGTTTATGTTGGATTTCTTATGTGAATTTTAAGTTCTCTTCAGTTTTTTTTTTATTATTTTGCTGCTATCTACTTTCTTTAAAAGAATTGGTTTTTAAAAGATTGGACCCCAACGGATTGTTATCTTTCTATTATTTACCAATGAACAACAAAATTTGTTACTTAGGGTCCACTGATGCCTTTTCTGATTTGAATGCTATAAATGCAGTCATCCTGTGGTAATAAAATTGTGAAAAAAATATCTTCCGGCCAAAGAAACAAGCATCCATATGCAGATCATATAAACTCTGACAAGAATGTCAGAAGACGTGATATCTATGGGCAAATATTGCCTGATAAAAAAGTGGCAATGTTACTACAACGCCGCACCAAAGAACTTGAGCGGCAAAAAAAGAATAGTTCCATAAAATCGGCAGTTGATCCAAATAAAAGAGTAATGTATCAACATCACCCTATGATTCGAAAACATAGTGCTCTTATCATAAGAGAGACTTCTTCTGCTGACGACGAAGGTTAGACTGAATTATTACTTTTTATTTACGTTATGTTAATGTAGCAGCAGACATATGAATATTCATATTTTACTAAGTAATTATTTTACGAGCATTTGCTTGAATATATTAAATATAAAATGTCTTTCATATTTGTCGCAGTTGGCAGCATCCATGCTGTTAATACTTCCTCAAGTTCTTTTGATAAAGGAAAAAATGTCGCTCATGCGTTTTCTGTATTTGAAAGAGGTAAAGCTAGAACACTATGAACATCTTTGTTAGTACGTCACGACTTAGGTGTACATCTAAATTGGGACAATGTGTGCCCCAGGATCAACATCGTGTACATCTAAGGGACAACAAAATGTGTTCCCTACTACCACAAGTAAAGGTTAGTATTTCTTTTACGCTAAAGTAACACTATTCATTAGTAGAATATTTTCCACGTCTTTTTTTTAACAATACTTATAACATACAGGTCATACCTTGACCAATGTAATCCATAAGAAAAATAATGACCAAGATGCGGATTATGCAATTAAAACATGTTCCGAACTGTAAATTTTGCAATGCAAAAAGGTTTCAATATGAACCTTCTGGATTTTGTTGTGGCAGCGGGTCAGTTAAGTTAGTTTCATATGAGCTGCCTAATGAATTATCAGATTTGTATAAAGGCAACACTGAAGAAGCTAAGCACTTTCGAACCTACATTAGAATATACAATAATATGTTTGCCTTTACTTTACTTGGTGTAATCAATGATAAAGATTTGGTGAGGAGATATCATGGTATATATACGTTTCGAGTTCGGGGACAAATGTATCACTTTATACCTGATTTACTTCCTTCTGATAAAAAAAGAAAGAATATGCAGTTATACTTTTACGATAACGAAAATGAACTAGCTAATAGAATGGCTTGTTCCAGTAATATCGACGAATCAATTGTAAAGAAACTTATGCATGTGCTCTCAATTAATCCATATTCCATTTTTTTAAAATCTTTGCTAAACGTTCCGAAACTATCTGATTATTATATCGCGCTTAAATGTGAACCAAAGTCAGATCAACGTGTATATAATCTACCAACTACAACAGAGGTGGCTGGAATATGGGTACATGATAGAACTACCGATACTATTTCTACACCTCATATTCGTATATACACACATAGTGACAAGACTCAGTCAGTAAAGTATTATTATGGATGTTATGACCCATTACGATACCCGTTATTATTTCCATACGGTCAAAACAGATGACATTGTGGTATTAAAAAAATCGCACGAAGAGATCAACGTTATTGTAAACATGAAGAATTACCGAGTGTAAAGAATTGTGTTCCATTGATAGATTTCTTGATATGGAAGCTCAGACTATGGAAAAAGGAAAACGAAAAAGAGAGACAGTTTCTTGCCGTGAGTATTATTGTTACAAATTCCAGATAAGAGAGGATGAAAAAATGAAGTCTTACATTGTGGAAGATTATTTCAACAATTCATAGTAGATGTGTTCATAAAGCTAAAAACACAAAGATTAGATTTTTATTTTTTTAATCAAGATTTGTTTCGGATAGATGTGCTACAAAGACTTATTGATTTTTTAAGACTTGGTGAAACGGAAGCTTCCAAGATTGGCAAGAAAACATTCCTCCCTGTTACTTTTATAGGAGGGCCAAGAGATATGCGTCGATGATATATGGATGCCATTGTATTAGTGCAACGTTTTGGAAAACTTGATATCTTTTTAACTATGACATGCAATCCGTCTTGGCCAGAAATAAAACAACACGTGTTACCAACAGATGAAACTCAAAATATACCTGATTTAGTATCACGGGTATTCAGAGCAAAAGTAGAAGAATTAAAAGCAGATATCTTGAAAAGAAAAATCTTTGGAAAAGTTGTTGCTTTTATGTATACTATAGAATTTCAAAAACGTGGTCTTCCGCATGCTCATTTTCTTATCATACTTAGTGATGAATACAAATTATTAACACCTGAATCTTATGATAAGTTTGTTTGCGCTGAGTTGCCTGATCATAACACCAATGAGCACCTTTATTCACGCGTGCTTCAGCATATGATGCACGGTCCGTGTGGTGATTTAAATCCCACAAATTCATGTATGGGAAAAAGAGGGTTTTGTAAATTTGATTATCCAAAAGATTTTGCTGAGCAAACATCAAAAGGAAAGAATTCGTATCCAATTTATAGAAGACGAAATACAGGCGAACTTATACATATAAGGGAACAATATTTGGACAATTCATAGGTTGTCCCATACAACCCTTACTTACTTCATAAGTTTGATTGTCATATGAATATTGAAGTTTGTTCTGATATTAAAGTTGTAAAATATATTTACAAATACATTTGCAAAGGACATGATAAAATTATTTTTTCTATACATAACAATAAAGAAATAGATGAAATAAAAGAATATCGATCTGCTAGATGGGTAACACCCCCTGAAGCGGCATGGCGGTTATTTGGTTTTTCTATTAGTGAAATGGCTCCGACTATTTATCATCTTTAATTACATTTAGAAGGGCAACAATTTGTTTCTTTTAAAAGTAGTGAAACTGTTAATAGAATTCTAAATAATCCGATGATTAGAAAAACAATGTTAACTGAATTTTTTGCTATGAATGCAACTGATGAACATGCTATAGCTACGCAATTATTGTATAAGGAATTTCCGGAATATTTTGTATGGTCTCCAGGATATAGAACGTGGACACGTCGGCAAAAACGTAATGTAATTGGACGTGTTGTAACATGTCACCCAATAGAATGAGAGAGGTATTATCTCAGATTATTATTGATGAACGTGAGAGGACCTAAATCATATGAAGATCTTCGCACCGTTAACGAGGTACCCTGTAGTACATTTAGAGAATCAACAGAAAAAAGAGGATTATTATACTGTAACAATAGTCTAATTGAATGTCTTTCGGAGGCTGTAAGTTATCAAATGCCATATAGCTTGAGACGTTTATTTGCCACACTGTTAGTATATTGTAATCCTGCTAATCCAAAAATATTATGGAAAATGTTTGAAGATTCAATGTCTGAAGACTTTAGACATTTCTCTGATTTTGAAGAAAAAGCTGTTCGACACAAGGTTTTAAGTCATATCAATGATATCTTACACTCTATGGGCCACGACATATGAGTATAAGCTTATTCTAGAGAAGATTAGAGATTCTGAAACTGGAAAGGATGCAAAGGATGTTCATTTTGAAAGAAATATAATTGTTAGTGAACAAGACTTGCTCTTACCGAAGAGATTGAATGTTCAACAATTACGCACATATAATATAATAATTGATAGAGTATTTTCTGGAAAACAAGGAGCTTTCTTCATCGATGGTCCTAGAGGAACAGGTAAAACTTTTTTATATCGTGCATTATTGGCAACTATCAGGTCTCAATGATTTATAGCTTTAACAACTGCAACTTCTGGTGTAGCAGCTTCTATCCTTCCAAGAGGACCAACTGCTCATTCACGGTTCAAAATGCCTATTGATATAGATGATAATTTTCGGTGCAACATTAGTAAACAAAGTTCACTCGCACGTCTAATTAGAGATGCAAAATTAATTGTATGGGATGAGGCATCAATGGCAAAAAAGAATTTGATTGAAGCTCTTGATGCACTTTTGAGAGATATTATGGACATCGATACAATGTTTGGTGGTAAAGTAGTTGTATTTGGAGGTGACTTTAGACAAACTCTACCAGTTGTTCGAAATGGAAAAAAAGAAGATTTTATTCATGAAAGCTTATTGTATTCTGAAATTTGGAATAAACTTGAGAAATTATACCTATCTGAAAATATGTGCGCAAGAACAGATCCTTCTTTTTGTGAATATTTACTTCGAATTGGAAATGGAACAGAAAGAACTAACTGTGAAGACAAAATAGAGATTCCTAATTCTTTTGTTATTCCTTTTACGACTGAAGCGAAATCCTTAGATGCACTGTTTAGTGTAATGTATCCTGATTTACATGCATTTTCTCCTGATTTATCTATGATAACCTCTCATGTTATTTTAACAACGAAGAATGACTTTGTAAACGAAATAAATAATATGTTAATCGCTAAATTTCCAGAAAGGTCTAAAATATTTGTTGCAATAGATGAAACTATTGAACCGAATGATCAAAGCTAGTTTGAAGATTTTCTACATAGTTTAGATCCTCCTGGTTTACCGCCTTATAAGTTAACTTTAAAGAAGAATTGTCCAGTTATATTGTTACGAAATCTGAATCCTTGCGAAGGTTTATGCAATGGAACACGGTTAACATGCTGTGACTTTAGAACACATGTCATAAGTGCTAAAATTGATAGTGGTGATTTCAAAAATACACATGTATTTATTCCGAGAATACCATTATTAACATCACAAGATGAAAAAATACCTCTTCAATTTAAGAGAACACAATTTCCCCTACGCTTGTGCTTCGCTATGACCATAAACAAAGCTCAAGGTCAAACATTAGATTTTGTTGGAATTTACTTACGTGAGCCTGTTTTTTCTCATGGTCAACTTTATGTTGCTTTATCAAGAGTGAAAAGCTCAAACTGTGTTAAAATATTGATTCGCCCATCTACAACAGACAGTAATGATGACCATTCAACATATAATGTGGTTTATGGCGAAATTATTCAGAAAGCTTTCTCGTAAGAAACCTAATGATCTTCAGCTCAACAATGAAAAGTAAGTTTTTAGCTCCGCCTGTGTTTTCAGTTACACTACTGCGCCACAGCTGGTCCCAAGCCCGGAAAAAGGAGGAGGGTTCACTGTCTATCTATACTTTGCAATTTTAAAATGCAGGATGATTAATGAAGCAACATATATTGGATCTTCCAAAATCAATAATGTATATCTGTTTTAAGGTTCTTGCGAGCTACTTTATTACAAAAAAATTTCCCATTGTATGCGCCTTTAGTCGAAGTTATTTCTTTTATGAATCTTTATTTACACCACAAAAATTTTGAGGTGGACCATATTGTTCGCATACATAATAACCACCAAACATGTTACAGTGTCTGCAAGTTCAATTACGACACGACTTTCCAATTACTACAGATGATTCTCTTTAATCCTTTATTTTCGATTTCTTGCTCACCATCCGATATTTGTATAGGGGCTTGATTAAATATGATTAGCGCCGAAAAGTGTTGTATTGGGAGTAAACTCTGTTGTTACTGATCGGTCAAGCTCCAATACTCCCTCCTAGGGGACTCGAAAATGTTTGTCTCCATTTTGCGTACAAAAATATCAAAATTTTATCTCTTTTTAGTTATGTAAAATTTGGAGTTATCTTGGATGTACCTTTTGTTTAAAACTTCTCATCATGTAAATTTGTGCCTGCAGAACTCCAGAGTTAGGATGCTGTTATACGCCATACAGTTCTTATATTACTTCTTGCTGCTTTTATCAGAACCAAATAAGCAATAGCAACAAACCTTCCTGTCAATTGCTCGAAATCTCTATGAAGCAAATCACGACTGACATGACTTCGTATGTAGTGGTGAGTGACTTCTTATCTAAGAGTTTATATTATATAAATCTCAATCTTTAATATTGAAGCAAGGACATGACTATTCAACCAAATTAAAATTAGAATGGGGCATTATTTGATAGCTACTGCCTCTTTTTCTCTCGAACATACTGCTATTATGGGGCATTATTTGACAGCTACTAGCTGGCTTTCTCTATAAGCTTGCAGTTATTCTCCTATATTCCTTCTTCTCTAGGTACACAGTTTTCCTTACTTTGATTTTGGTTCTCACGGATGAATTTACCTCCTTGTTGTACTTTTTTTTTTTTTAAAATAATTGGAGTATCTTAAGTTGCTTTTCAGTGTTTCATCTAGGAGGTTTCTTTGTAAATTACTTGATGGAGAAATTTATCAACTGAACCACCTAGAAAAAACATTATGTTTGTTTTGCTCTTTTTTTGACTGTTGCTTTACACTTAGTTTGACGAGGGTTTTTTTATAGTCTTGTGAACACTTTTTTAGTGTCATAGCTTTCCCGTTTGCAAGGACTCAATGTATTCTCGCTTTCTTCGTGATGCAGCAAGCTGCTCCGAAAAGCTTATGACATAAACTTTAAGGACAGTCTGCAGCTACATATACTTTAAAGGTAATGCAGTCTTTGAAACGTCTAGCTTGTGACCATAGATTGGACGAAGACCCCATCTTGTATGTAGAAAATTGATGAACACCACAAAGTCTTATAGCAGATTGAGGTGACAAACATCACATAATTTTGAATGTGTCTATATATATCATTTTTGGAGACATCTTTGTCACTGTAACCTCAAAAAGGGAAAATTGTCGGTGCTTAAATTTCCGATGCTGAAATTTCTTATTTCAGTTCTTCATTTTGTTAAGTTGTAGAAATTATGTCGAATAACTTGAGATCCCAAATAACTTATTTCGTATAAGGGTTTCAATGTGTTTGCAATGTAAAGAATCATAACTCCAATTATTGGTATAATATGATTTTCTGTGAAAAAATGGTTTATGTAATCTCTGATGTCTAGATATGTTAGTTGGCCATGTCCTGTTGTTATCTGCTTTTTTGCTACTGGTAGCACAGTTTTCTCGTTTACTTTCTTCTGATGTGTTTCAGTTGGTTTAGGATTCTCTTCGTGGTTGATTATTAAGTTAGATTACACAGACAAACCATGTGAAAGGCAATTGTTCACTTGTTTATCCGAGGAAATAGTTCTCATGGAAGTCCTATTTATTTTCACAGTCATTCGATGTCTTTTCTTACTATAGTTGCAAATTCATCTTTGCTACAGCTGACGCAGAGCCTGTGAGTGAATTTGCAAATTCTCAAAAGCTTTCCAAATAAATGTCTTGTAAGGTGTCTGCAATTTCAAATAAAAGCAAGAAAAAAGATACATCATCTGAATCTGAAGATGACGAGGTAAATAGTAATGAGGAGAGTGACAACTATCAAGAACAATATAGCGAACAAATTACGTCTTTCAGCAGAGATCAAGGAAAGGATGCTGCCAAAGCTACAACAACTAAAAAGGGCAAGGGCAGTGGAATTGACCTCATCGGCAAATAAAAGCTCCCACTGAAGGGAAAATATTGACTTTGTACGCTTCAGATTGTCTTCACTTCATTATGTTTATTCTCCTGCATCGTTTAATGTTGTTGATGAACTCCTAATAATTTTTTTTCCCTAGCTCCTAATATTTTTTTGGCGCTGTGGGTAAAGTAAACACTTTGAACAGTTTAATATAAAGAACACACTTAATACATTCTAAAGGATGCATACTGACCTTGTCCTTGTACAATGACCATTTAACTTCTATTTGTCCATTATGATAATTGATTTCATTTACAGTTTACTTAAATTATTTAAAATTCCTCCTTACATTATCTCTTTCTTTTGATGCACCGAAGCTTTCAATAATGGTCTGTCATGTTAAGCACCACAAAGTGTAGAACTATCTGCTGACTATCTTTCTCACAATTGAAACTTGATTTAACGTTTCTATTCGCAGCTTCCAAAAGGAGTTATGTGTTTTTTTAATCTGAAGAAAGCAGAACCTGTTGCTGTTGCGGAAGCCAAATATATATAGTGTGAATAAGTCACAACTACTATACCAAAAATTATGA